ACAGGTGGTAAAAAAACCATGGTAGCTCAGGGGCTAAGCGCTCGTAAATTTCATAGAACGCGAGCAACCTGGGTTCAATTAACGCCGGCACCAATGAAATTGTTAATTTCAATTTTCAGTACAGATTTACCATAATCAAGTTAATAAAATGTTATTAAATTTTATTGCTCACCGAATATACACACAAAACTGTAGCGGCGCTGTCGTTGCGACACTAACGAAACGCACCGAAGCCTAAATCACGCTATCAAAATTCCGGATCATAAACAGTATATATAGAACATCTCCGAACTATCACCATTGGCCCTCCCCGGGCAACCTGGCCGCGGGAGACTCCCCTTTTTCTACTTCGGCCACAGTGGTGAACACCCGACGTGATCTGAACACGCAACAACAACCTCGGCCAGCTTCATCATCGTCAGAATACCCCACCCATTTGCTCCCTCAACCTGCAGTCTTCATATCCCGCAAGCCAGCAGCTCACAGGTTCTTCGCAGCACTGGAATAATAATGCTTCCTGTTCCTTCAGCTACTCTCTGCGCTATACAGTGTTCGGCACGGCTCTGAGCCTTACTGCTCGCTTCTGCTTCACGCACTCTCGATTACTGCCCTTCTCACCACCGCGCTACAAGAAATCTCCTGGTACTTGCACATTCGTCAAACTACTGCACTATCGACCTCCCTCGGGGGTGATGTAACGGCGCTGTCGTTGAGCTACTAGCGAAATGCACCGAAGCCTAAATCACGCACAAAATTCCGTCATAAACAGTATATATAGAACATCTCCGAATTATCACACAGAGTGTTGGCTGCTCCCCGGGCAGAACTCACTGCCCGGCGGGAGATCTCCCCTTTTTCTACTTCGGCCAAAAAACAATGATCGTAACTAAAGTATATTGTTAAATTAAGACTCACCATATTATTGTTAAAAGACGTATTAATTAAAAAACAATATAAATGTAAGAGCCTTAATAAAAAGTAAAATAAATTAAACTTTAATACTATACTCAAACTCGCACTTGGCTAGTTTTTATTAGATAATAACGAACGACGGACGGGGATCACTGACTAGTTAAAAGGATATTGAGCGTGGTACATTTACCGTTATCTTTGTGTTGTTAACCGTTTAACTTTCTTTATCAATTTAAGGTATTGTTTAATTGAAAAGTATTGAGTACGACCCACTAAAGCGGTATCTTTAGAGTATTCAATGAAAAGAAATGACTCCAAATGCACAGTCTATTTTATGTACTACAATTTAATGCTTCACTAAGAATTAAAGCGTTAGAATTACATTTTTTCAAATAAATAATATTTCATGGGAGAAACCTGACGCATACCCGCTTAACGGGGGCATACAGCAACAGCTATGTCTCATATCCGCATGTAGGAAATGGGACAGGGGATCGCTGGCTTAATTTTGTGGGAAAACTCTGACATTTTCGTTTTAAATGACTCAAGCAATAAGTTTTAATAAGATTAAATAAACATTTTAATTAAAACTACAAACCGACTACAACACCGACATTAATAATATAAATTCTACTTAATAGCTTTAGAATTCGAAGTTTTTTTTCTTTGATATATATTTCTTAGTATTTTATCTTTTTGAGTGGTGTAAGAAAAAAAGAAAGAACGATAAACACAAGTTCAAGGTAACAACTAGAATGAAGTCTATGTAGTTACATTAAAATCTTCATCCCCTATTTTAACACCCTGAGGCACAGTCTTTACATTTATATGGATCCATTCCTAAACTACAGTTTATTTAATTAAAAACAGAATCATTAAAATCGGTTCAACCGTTTCCGAGATATCGATTGACAATTGACATACCTTAAAAACATAGTACGCATTGAATATAGAACCTTCTCTTTTTTAAACTAGGGTAATAAAACAAAAACGCATTTATAAATATGTGCAGGCCCTTAAGCGCCGACTGCCTCTTAGTGGTTCCTACTCGGGGCGGACAACTTCTCCCACTATTCCTTCATCCCCCTGGCAATGGGTCAATGGGGCCTAGGAAAACGTGCCGTAAGACGAATCTGGTCTTTGCCTACGCCGCCGACGTCGTTCACCAAAACTCCTCCACCCTCGCGACTCCAACTCGACTGCGAAAAGCAAGGATTAAGAACTATCCCGGCACAATCGACCATGCCGCATCTGTAACGGGCTCCTCGGGTCTCTTCGTTCACCGTTAGTAGCCTATATATAGACCTATATATATATATATATATATATATATATATATATATATATATATATACCTATAGAGATATATATGGTGATAGCTACTAACATTAATTCTAAGCTTCTGTCGCATCCGAAGCTGGAAGCTTCAGGAAGCGGATACCAGGGACAAATATCACACGAGGGTAGCCGAAAAGCTTGACACCATCGATGGCAGGAAAGAATGTGTGGAGAGAACATGGCAGAACCTTAGGGATGGAATGGTAAGTGCAGCGGAAGAAGTATGTGGTACGACAAAAAGAGGTAGTAGTAAAAGAAGAGATGCATGGTGGAATGATGAAGTGAGAGAAGCTGTAAAAAAAGAAGAAAAAAGCATGGTTAGACTACTTGGCCTCTAGTAACGATGAGCATATGAGAGAGAAGATGAAAGAAAGATATAAGCTGCAGAAAGTTCATGCGAAAACATTGATTGAGGAAGTACGTGAAAGGTGTAGAATAGAAGCGGACGAGAGGTTGTCGCACAACTTTAGGGAAAACTCCAAACTCTTCTGGAAAGAGGTTGGAAGGTCCCGGAGTGGTGCGACAGCCTTAAGAATGAACAAAGTGCTTTCGAGAACCAATGACGTCCTCTCAGAAAAATCGGACGTCATGCAGCGATGGAGTGAATTTTATAGAGAAATGTATGCATGTCATGATCTTAGTGAAGGATCCGGGGGTGACGAACCGTGACTGGACGGCCAGACACGGACCTCGATGACACTGAGGTCATCAGCATGAAAGAGATTGAACGTGCGATTCGAAGTTTGAAATGTGGTAAGGCTGCGGGACTAGACAGAGTTACTGCTGAAATGGTCAAGTACGGTGGGCCTCGCGTCTGGGACAGCTTCCATCTGCTGTGCAATTTATGCTGGCGGACGGGAGATGTCCCGGATGATTGGCGATCCGCGGTCATTGTGCCTTTATATAAAGGTAAAGGTTCACATTTTGACTGCGGGTGCTATCGGGCGATCAGCTTGACCAGTTTAGCAAGTAAAGTTTACTCGAAGGTTTTGACAAGTAGGATGCAAGAGAAATCGGAAAGATTCTTATGGGAGGCACAATGCGGATTTAGACCTGGAAGAGGATGCACGGATCAAATGTTTTCTCTCCGCATGATCACGGAGAAGCTTCTGAGTGTTAACCAGAAGATTTTCTGTGCTTTTGTGGATCTGGAGAAAGCATTTGATAAGGTTATAAGAAAGAAAATGTGGGAACTGTTGCCGGGATATGGTGTGGATGGTCGATTGTTAAGGGCTGTGCAGTCACTTTACTATGACTGTAAAGCCTGTGTGCGGGTAGGGCATGACCTGTCACCCACGTTTAGCGTCCAAGCGGGCGTAAAACAGGGTTGTGTCATGTCTTCATGGCTGTTCATACTACAGTACCTCGACAGCTGTTTACAGAAGCTGAAAAATAGCTGTTTGGGTGTGAAATTGGGTGACATAAAAGTTAATTGTCTGCTGTATGCTGATGATGCAGTGCTTATTGCACCATCAGAAGCAGAACTGCAGGCATTAGTCACGTGTATGAAAGAGGAATGTGAAATTAAAGGTCTCCGTTTGAATGCTAATAAAACTAAGGTTCTGGTATTTGAAAAGGACGAAGAGAGAACGAAATGTGAAATATGGGTAAATCAGGAATGTCTAGAACAGGTAAATGAAATTGTATACTTGGGGAGTGCTTTTAGCCGGGATGGAAGATGTGATTTAGATGTGGATAGGCGTGTCGCTGCCGGAAACAAAGTCAATGGTGCCCTGAATGCATTAGTAAAAAGACAAGGCGTGATGAAGAGTGCACGCCTTGCAAATATAATGCAGTGTTGGTACCGACTTTGTTATATGGCAGCGAAACCTGGGTATGCCAGAAGAAGCATAAAAGCAAGTTGAATGCAGTGGAGATGCGATCTCTTCGTAAAATGTGTGGCGTTACCTTAACCGACCGAAAGCGAAACGAAGAGATTCGCAATATGGCAGGATTGAAAGATGACCTTATCACAAAAATTGATAGGGGCGTACTCCAATGGTTTGGGCACGTTGAACGAATGAGTGAAGACCGAATGGTGAAGAGAATATATAGAGCGAAAGTAAATATTAATAGGTGTCGAGGTAGACCGAGACTAACTTTCGAAGACCATGTGAGCAAATTTCTCGAAGAGGGGAGGGTCAAGAGTACTCGGATACCTAGACGTGCATGTATGAAGAAGTTAATGAATCTGAAGGAAGCGAAAGAGGTATGTAAGGATCGTGACACTTGGCGATCTGTTCTCTCTGGCTACCCCGTTAGGGATTGTGCGTGAAGAAAAAGTAAGTAAGTAAGTACTAAACTTAATGGTTCGGTGGTTTGGATACGTAGAATAAATGGATGAGAAAACAGTGACAAGGCAAATTTAAGCTGCAGAAGTGAGTGTCAGACATCATTAAAAGTTTATCGACCAAATTAGCGATATATTGAAGGTGGGCCGAATTAAGATAACCCTTAACCGACGAGCATGTAAGCGTTGATATATCAATCTGAAAGAAACGAGAGAGGTGTGTCAGAATCGTGCAAAATACAAGTCTGTATAATAATAGTCTAGGTATTTTCGTCAGTAACAGTGAGTGTTTGCATTATGTTATGTAACGCTAAATAATTAGACTAACTAAGGCTTACACGTGTGACACGTGCCAGCTTTCACACGTGCTATACGGTCACTGGTGCAATGAAATCATGCGGTAATACTGCCCACGAATTTAATATATATGTAAATTAAAACAAGTTCTCTATTGTTTCAGAAACTTTTACTCTGGCCGACAGTCTTCCTCCTCGCCGCTGTGACACTGATTTCGGGCAGCGTCGTCAAATCGCCAAGCAATGGCAACTTCGAGCTGCTCATCCTGCACAACAATGACATGCACGCACGGTTCGAACAAACCTCCCAAATGAGCGGCGCGTGCACTATTGCTGATAGAGAGGCGGGAAAGTGTTATGGCGGCTTCCCAAGAGTAGCTTACGTGTAAGTTTTCTTCAATTAATTCTTTATCATCATCATCATCATCATTACAACTCTTCACAAGTCCACTTCTGAACATAGCCCTCTCCCAAGGAACGCCACAAATCACGGTCCCGAGCCACCTGCATCCATCGACTTCCTGCATGTCTTACCAGGTTGTCACTCCATCTAGTAGGGAGTCACACTACACTACGCCTACCAGTATGCGGCTTCTACTTGAGAACCTTTTTCCCCCATCGGCTGTCAGTTCTTCGAGCTATATGACCGGCCCGTTGCCATTTCAGCTTACTTATTCGTTGGGCTATGTCGTTTACTCTGGTTCTACTGCGGATATCCTCATTTCTATGTTTATCACGAAGAGAAACCCCTAGCATAGCCCTCTCCATAGCTCGCTGGGTGACCTTGAGCGTCCTCATACGGCAGCAGTGAACGATCCCGTCTCAGATCCATAAGTTATCACGGGCAACACGCACTGGTTGTACAATCTATATGCTTCTTCATATACATATATTATTATATTATTTGTATTTTACTGTATACTAATATATTGTAAATTGTAATAATATTCACTGTATAGAGGCGGTGGTAAGAATATTCACTACACCATATCGTACTGTAATAAGACTGACAAAGGACACAGAACGTAAAAACTAAAAAACTGCGGTTTCCAACTAATCTATGTGCATGGTAACTATGTCAATTACCCCCCAAATGTGGCAATCTACAGGGGACGCCTAGGTTCAGCATTGAATTTTGATAGGCTGTTATAATTATGATGATACCTTTATTACGTACATTTATTTCATGCCTCGTAGAACCACACTGCATCTGTATTGACGCTGCAGTACGAAAACGGCCCGAACGAAGAAGGACCTTGCACTCACTAAACACTCAAGTAAAATTGCCGCCGAGAGTAAAGTGCCGATGAATGAGTTTTGTGCCGGACGGGCGAAACTCTCCGGAGTAAATGTTGTCGAAGATACTTCGCGAGTCGCTCACGTCCTACACCTATAGGTTCCGGTGGGTACTCTCACCGCCGTCTTTGTTGGTGCCGCTGAAATATTGTGGACTGTAGTTAAAATCAAAATGCACGATTAACAAATACAAATAGCAAGGTAGTGGCCAGCGGTTCGACTGATTGATTAGTCGCGAAATTTTATAACTATTTATCACGGTTGTTAAACTACGGTTGTTCACTGTATATTTCAAAAGATTTCTTTAAATTGTACGGTGGTATCAAATATCTATTGGTAGTAGCTGGTTTTCTAACACTACTGACTAGCAGCTATTATCAACTAAACTAGTTGATTTTATCACTTGTGTAACTGCGGATATCAGTTACCACTTTCACTATATGTAACTGCGAATATCAGTTACGACCTTTTTCGGCTAGCTAACACTTTCACTATATGTAACTGCGAATATCAGTTACGACCTTTTTAGGCTAGCTAACACTTTCACTATGTAACTGCGAATATCAGTTACGACCTTTTTCGGCTAGCTAACACTTTCACTATGTGTAACTGCGAATATCAGTTACGACCTTTTTAGGCTAGCTAACACTTTCACTATTCACTATATACTGCTACTAGTCACTTCAGCTACCACCGGATACCACTCACTTCACTTCACTTGTCACTGGTAGTTCTTCACACTACTACGGATACTGGGTCCCGAGCCCCTAAGGTAGACTTTAGCAATACTTTGCAGTGAGCCGCTTGCCATTTTCCGTTTTGCCTCTTTATTGCATAAACTTATCACTATACAGATGGCATAAATTGCAATATTTTCTATACAAAACTAATTGCTACACTAACATGCTATACATCATTAAATCGGTAGTCTGATACTTTATTAATATATCATAAAGGTTATTAAAAACATTAACATTGTAAAAAAGTTATTAAACGAAATGTCCCAAATTTTCATAATATTTGGGCATTTTAATTCTTTAATTTTTCTATAACTACGAAATGCGTTTAATTATACAAAAATATTCCTATACTTTCTTAATCTATAAGCCATATGCTAATTCAATGTCATATTTATAACTCTTTTAGAACATAAAATTATTTTCATTATTTTTAGTATGATCTATTACGCAGTTAATTAAAAAACTTCTAGAGAGTTCTACGATAAGACGCGCTGTGATTGGTCGATTTTTTGGTATATAATAAAAGTTGTTTATATTACTTGTTATCAAAACGACATTCTATACAAACATATTGAGAGTTATAAATATGCTAAATAACTATATTAATACACGTTTTCACTAAGTTTTCTTGGTAATTTCACTATTAATACATAAAACAATATTCTTTATCACTTTGTTTCTTAAGGTTGTTAGGCCGTCGCGAACAAGTTTCATATTATTACTTCTTAGGGATGACACTTAAAAGTAGGAAGATTAAAGGCTTACCAATGTATTATATCTTTGCTAATATTTACAATTATATACGTGTACATACTGAGATAGTAATGTAGACTTTGCAATAGAGACTAGAGAAATAGGAGAAAGTACTTTATCAGTAATAGTAAAAATGTTTTTCTACGTGGTAGAGCCACCTTACAGCTTCAGGTCGGCCAGGTAGGATCTCGCTCTCACAGAATAAGAGCGTAAAGTATAAGCTTTTTTTATATAAAACAAAGGTGGCAAGCGAGCACACAGTCCACCAGACGGTAAGTGGATGCTGTAGTCCATAGACACCTACATTTGTCCTCGATTAAGAATCAAAATGCAGATACATTGTTAGTGTTACCCCTGAGGACTACGATGGAATGCCTCGTTTCTCGTAAAATATGTCTCCGATTCTCTGCACTCACCTTACGAAACACAGCAACGCTGCTATTTTAAGCTTTAGGCTATTTTAAGTAAAAATAAATTACTTCGCACCCTTCCGCTAGTTAAATATAATGATGTGTTTTACCTGGATTGAAGAGCATCTCCCGCCCTCCCTCAATTGCATGCACTAACTCCGTCACCACTAGTCCCAGCACCACTAGTCCCAGCACCACTACTCCCAACACCACTACTCCCGGTACCACTATTTCCAACACCACTATTCCAGGTAAGATACACCATCGACGACAATACGACACGTGTTTCGCCTCTACACGAGGCATCCTCAAGTGATGTAGATTCTACGGCGGTTGACCGCTAAGACTTAGCTCCAGACTTGGCTTAGCATCCGCTTAATTAACTACAATATTGTGTCTTACCGCACTTAGCGGTCAGCCGCCGTAGAATCTACATCACCTGAGGATGCCTCGTGTAGAGGCGAAACACGTGTCGTATTGTCGTCAATGTTGTGTCTCTAACGGAGTTAGTGCATGCAATTTAGGGAGGGCGGGAAGTGCTCTTCAATCCAGGTAAGACACATCATTGTATTTAGATAGCGGAAGGTTGCGAAGTAATTTATATTTTACTATAATGGATTTCCGCAAAGTAACGCCTGATTCTATCAGCTATTTTAAGTGCTATTTTACGTTTTTATACGTGGTAGAGCCGTGTTATATTATTAGTATAGTTGTAGCACAAATGGGTCGATTCGACCGGGGAAACACCACGCTCTCACAGAATACAGCGTGAAATAGTAGCTTAATACTGCTGTATTTCGTATGGTAAGTGTAGAGAACTGGAGACTCTTTTTACTGGAAATGAGGCATTCCATCTTAGTTCTCAAGGGTGACAACGCATCTGCATTTTGTTTTGTAATTGAGGATACATGTAGATGTCTATGTGCCGCAGCAATCACTTACCGTCAGGTGGACTGTGTGCTCGTTTGTCACACTATCCTATATAAAAAAGCTGGTATTCTGTGAGATCGTGATCCTACCCCGGTCGAGCAGCGTAGCTCTACCACGCATAAACTGTTTAGCTTTTGCAGTTATACTTAATTCTGCTATTGATTAAAACTACTTTTACGGATTATATCGCGTTTAATTTTAAATGATTTTTTAATTCCCGACATTTCGGGTACTTTCTAGCACCCATGGTCATGGGGTACTAAGGTGTATAATCCGTAAAAGTAGTTTTAATCAATGTGTAGTGTTCGCGTATATATAAGAAATCATTAATGCTGTTATGTTTCTTATAGTGAGAGACTAAAATCATGGTTCACTTTACTAGTAACAAGGCATCAGAATTTTGTTCTCAATCAGGGGTAGACAGAGATGTCTATGGTCTCAACGTCCATTGACTCTGTGCCTGTTGGTCCACAGAGGTAACTACGCATCAGCATTTCTATTCTTGGTAATAAGGAATATTTGGTCCACGTTTACTCGTTTGTCACCTTTACTTTTATACTTAACTTGAACTAACAGCAACTTTTCAGGTCCTCTTGTAGTATGGTGTGTTAGTATAGAAATCCCCAATAATTTTCGAGCTAATTGGTGCTGCTAATTAAACAGCGAGAATTTTAGAAAAAACTACTTACGTCCCACCTCAAAAATATCTTGGCGAACACTGGTTTTCGATTTTGTTTATTTGTATTTCATAAGATTTCTTATGTGGTAGAGCCATGCTGCAGTTATATTAGATGTATAGTTGTAGCACGAATGGGTCGGCTCGACCGGGGTAGGACCACGCTCTCACAGAATACCAGCGTGAAATAGTAGCTTAATGCTGCTGTATTTCGTATGGTGAGTGTAGAGAACCGGCGACCCATTTTACTGGAAACGAGGCATTCCATCTTAGTCCTCACGGGTGATAACACATCTGCATTTTGATTCGTAATCGAGGATAGATGTAGATGTCTATGGGCCACAGCAACCACTTACCATCAGGTGGACTGTGTGCTCGATTGTCAACCTATCCTACAAAAAAAAAAAAAAAAGATAAAAATAGAAACAAATTTATAAAATGAGTTCTCAACATTTCCGGAAAAATAATAAGCCCCTTTCACTTCGTAATAAGTTTTACACAGTTCCATAATGTTAGTCTAAAATTTGCGATTTTTTTCTTGAGTCAATTATTATGTTCGCGTTTCTTTCATACAACAGTT